GGTGTCGCCAAATTTAACTTGAAAAATGAAAACAAATCACATCCGGCAAATTCGGCTTTGTAGCCGGCGACGTGGCTTATTAGCCGGCGATTGGGCATATTAGCCGGCGGATTATGCTAGTAAAATTCCGTCCCAAGCTGATGTGGGCTTAATACGCGGCTGGGCTTATTAACCGTTGGCTTAATAGCCGGCGACTACTGTAATTAGGAAATCCTGCCTGGCAGTTAGCTCACCGCGTTCCTATTGGTGGACTTCATACGAGCAGTAGACTGGGCGGGTAAATCGACCCAAGTGTGATTAAATTCACTATGCACGGTGAGCCTCATAGTGCAATCGTAGAGCGTTGTCTGCGCAAAAGCCTGTGTGGGCGTGACTCACACCGAGACGGCCGCGAATTTTTCACAATTGGGTCAATCCAATTATTGAAATCTGCCAAACCTCTAACATATATATATTTCTTTACTTTAGTCGTTCCTCTTGGCTGGTCCCCGTCTCGATGATGATCAGTGGCACACGTTACGCCTGCGGCGCCGTGCTCAGCATTTGTACATCAGTGTTGACAATAGAAACGAACAAAGAGGTGAGGTCGCATGGCTACTTTTACCCCCAACTCACTTGTCATTTTAGTCATTATACATAGGATGGTAAATTGCTGAAACGCTAGCCGGAGATGTCATACTCCTGACCAGCTGTTTTTAGAAAATACATTTGAATTTAGAAGGGTACCGGAAATGTAACACTAGAAGCGCCACCTACGTCCAAGGGCGCGGAGGGATGCACACTTAAAATCCAGCGTCCTGCTGTGTTTGAAATATGCTAGAACTTTTTTGTTAGGATATTGACTATACAAACCCAGGTAAGTAATCCTTCCCCATCGACAGATCGGTCATTGACTGTATTTACCCTAGGTAATGCTGACATGCCAAAAAGAGTAAACATACATGACTACTCATTTATTACGAGTAGTAATTATGTAATTATAATATAAATTTACGCTTCGTCGTTGAGAAGCCAGTCTAAATTGTTCTTAGGGAAGAGGAAGTAGGTCGAGGGCCGACATTCTGTTTTCACAAGGCAGTGTTACCAGACATTTAGTCATTTTTGTCGCCCGCACGAATAATTAATAGACATGGACATCTCCTGGTTTGAACTTTATGGTGCGGCCTAAAGCTCATGAAAAATGCCGAAATTTGTAAAAAAAAATGGCATTCAACCGCATACGAAAACTTTGAAATAGTAATAAATAAAACAAAAAACGTCTGAACTCTTTATGCCAATGGTCAATTTAAAAAAAATTTATAGTAGGTCACCTCCAAAAAGAAGTTTAACTGGATGTTCATCTGACGGGTAACTATACATGTTACCTTTTTTCAAGGTAATGCTAAAGTGAAAATGGAGGATTTTTACCAATCCTTTGATTTTTCCAAACTTAAATGATACAATTTCGACTGGAAATGAAAGACTCCACCTTCCTCCTTATATTGGCCTATTTCTGCACCACATGTGATTACTTTAAGACCGCGTTCTAAAAATGAAAAAGCAAAATACTGGTCGAATGTATACTAAGATTTTGTGAAAAACCTAAATCTTCTGTCTGTCCCGTTCGTAAATTACGCATTATCGGAAATTCTATCGTATAGAAAAGTATCTTACCGCATACTTTAGATTTAAAAAATTGCTTTTGCCTTTATATAGGCGATATACTATATGCAGTTTTAGTTACCGTCCCACATCGTCGATGCGGTAAAAATGTGACCAAAAGATTTATGCTGCGTTTTGTGACAAAAAGAATTCAGACATTGGCAAGCAATTATTTTTAAACTAAAACTTTTCCTTATTTCTGCAAAAACAACGCAATTCCTTAAATTTGGCTTCCCATGATTATCATAAATTTAAGACCAGATTGTCGGGTTTTGGAAGGGATCTATTTTTACATTTTCTTGTTCATTTTGGGCTTCTCCCATAGCGCAATACATAAAATAAAAGGCTTGATTTTGTTGTACTAAACAGCATAAGAAATTTGTACGATATCAGGCCGCCTCCAATCTCGCTAAACTCAAACTTAGATAAACTGAGTAAAACAGACAGTTTTCCTTTCCAAAAGGCTTCCTCAGGAACAAATCCACTGATAAGATCAAAATACCGTGACCAAATGCATGCTTCTCAGCGGTGAATCAATCTCATTACATGTTATTACGCTACTAACAAGAAGTGAGTAGACATGTATTTGTACGCTTTTTATCCACCTACCAACCCTCTTCCTCCTTCTTTACTTCGCAGACATGCTGATTGTAAACATTCCGAAGGGAGTCTTTAACCAGATTGCCCAACAGATCTACGTGGGTGGCCAGGCACCCGCTGACTACGCCGCACCACCCTTCCAGAACATGGCCGGCTTCCTGCCGCCAGGCCCTAAGTTTACGGGTGAAATGCGCAACTTCTACTGGAACCAATACGACTTCTTCGGAACACCCCGACTAGCCACCAAGTACACCACAGAAATCCTGACTCCGCGACTTGAACTGCCCGAGTTTCCCAGTTGGCCCCGCGAACCCACCTACTCCATAACCTGCAATCCGGGCCTGCAGTGGGCTACCCTAGACAAACCCATGGTGGCCAAGGACGCCGGTGACATGTGGATTGTGGAGTTTAAAACGCAGTACGATGGAGTGCTTTTGCATGTGAGTGTCAGGTGCATTTGGCAATTTAGCATTTCTGGACAGACCTTTGGTTCTCGCATGTAGTCCTACCCATGGTTGAAGAGTAGTTTTAGCAGATAGCTGTTTGTGACCATTATCATCATCAGGCATTTACACTGACAGGGCAAATACAGTACCGCCTAGAATTTGTGTAGCATGCCGAAATATGCGAAAAATTGATACTTTTTGCTAATCGGCATTGAGAAATTTTGTTAT